TAGCGAAATCATGTTCTTCGATTGCAATGAAATTCAAATGGCCCCAGTGAATTCTCTTCAACATGCCCTGTATAAATTTTGAGCTCAAAATTCCAACAACTTCCGATTTTACGGCCACTTTATTTCGGGACGTCCTTAGAGGATCCGCTTAGGTAATGGGATCCGGTAGGGTCTTAGACGATCCGGTAAGGCCAAAGCGGATCCGGTGGAATCTTAGTGGATTCGCTACTTTCCGGATCCAGGGAGAGGCGCTCGCACGGGATCCGGTGCACTCACACGAGATCCAGAGAGAGCCGCACTGGATCCGGAAAAGTCTGACGGGATCCAGGGAGACTGGCAATGGATCCAGTGACGCCTAACTGGACACTCTACCAAAAATGTCCTGTAAATGCCGTTAATTTATTACCAGTTTTCACTGTAGGTCAATTCACAGCGTTTACTGTGATCTGCTCACGGGATTCACTGTGATCTTGTTCGCGGTGTTCACTGTGATCTGGTCCCCAGTAAACACTGTGAGTTTGACGCCGCTAAGCACCGAAGTACTGCAAATCAGGCTCCAATTCACGGCGTTTACTGTGGCCAGATCACAGTGAACACTAACCGAGATCACAGTGAACGCCGTGAACTAGTTTACAGCAAACGCCGTGAATTGCATAACAGCAAACATTGGAAATAAATTAACGGCGTTGACAGGACATTTTTTGTAGAGTGGATCCTGCAAGATTATACTGGATCCAGTGAAATCTTACTGGATTTTCAGACATGGGAAAATGGTAAAAATGACATTAGATGTTTGATAACTCTTTCATTTTCCATTTTAACCCATGACATGTGGTTATAGTTTTTGATTGTCTTCTTGAGTCAAATCTTAACCTGTCAAGTGATGTCTATTTGGCCAAGTTTGAAATTTTTACTCCAGGCGCTGTCAAGCGCGAGGTCCTGGGAGGTAGGCAAAAAGCAACACTCTGCCTCTCAGGACGTCGCTGGATCCGCAATTGGGCGCCGTCATGATTGGGCCAATGTGCCCCGTCAAGCAGAACCGAGAATAAAGATGCCTCTTAAATACAAATAATGCACTCTACCCATTCTACACAAGGGCTCAATTTAAAGCTAGACACATGGGCTTTCACATGAAATGATTGGCGGGGCCGAAAGACGATGTGAAATGCCACTAGACGAGAAGGTTCTCTGAGGGTGACATTTTACTTTTGCCTGGTTGTGGCCAAATCAAAATCAAACCTTGCCCTCTTGCCATCAGTCTGCTAGCCGTGAAATGTCATCGTCATCGGAGGCGTCTAAAAATTAATTAGGGTGTTCAGAGCTTCTTCTCACACCCGTAGGGATGCGCTGTGGTTGCTCTTTCCCCCCATGAAATTTGAAATGGACCAAAGTTCCCCAGGGACCAGTGCGCCCCACTTTCCCTTACGTCCTTATATATGTTCAAGTGGTGTCTTAATCTTAAAATTCGCACTCCGCCTCCTATTATTGACACTGTTTCTTAATTTCATCCATTGCAGGGATTGGGCACGATAGTCAACTTTTTCATCCTACTTCTGCAGTTGCGAGAGGTGCAATTTGTTAGCCAAAGCCAAAAAGAAGATTAAAGTACTGCACACAAGAACAATTTCTAATGAATTCACCGAACTCCGCCACGACTCCGATTTGCTGATTTGCGAGGGAAATTTGCTGACATAAGCGTTGTTTATTTGGAACACAAAAATGTGTTCAGAACGATTTTTAAGGTAAAAAATCAATTGTGGGTCATGAATGAAGTATGGACCTTTTTTGACAGGCCGCTCAATGATATTTTGACTCTGATAAGTTTCATACAATTTGTTGCGATAAAAAGGCTTATGTGATTCCTTCAAATTATCGCATCTGTGGCAGCAATAAAAAAATTATCGCCTTGAAAATGCAATAAGTCTCCTTAGCTTTGGCCGGTCTGGGCCTAGATTATCCCAGTTTTGGTGTGGCAAAATAGTAACTACGCTAATAAAGCGATAAATGTGCTAACGCAGTTCAATAATTATTGCACTAAGCTCATTATTACACTTAAAAAATCAGTGCTACAAATCCCTGAATGTGCGAATTGATTTCGGTATAGATTTTTCCTGTCTGAGCAACGGCAACACCGTTTTTTAAAGTGTAATAATGATCTAATGTAACAAGCTAGGGCCCGCCCTTCCGTCGAACCGAGTTGCCAGCTCCGCTTCGCTGCGCCGGCAACTCGGTTCGACAGGGGGCCGGCCCAGCTTGGCCTGCCGGCGGCCTTTTCTCGGGCCTTCGGCCCTCGCATCAGGCCCAACTTGGCCGGTCGAAGGCCCGGGCCTTCGGCCCGCTCGCAGTACACACCCCGTGAGCGGGTAAAGCAAAGTTATCGATGTACCATCGTGACTTAGGCCCGCCCTACTATGCACAATATGCAATAGTCCTTACACTTTTTACTCCAACTGTCCTTAGAATATGCCCATTTCATTTGTCTCTTAGCCCTCATTCCGAAAATACCCATATTTGCCATGCTACTGCAACTCCTTGCAAAAGAGGCACAGCAGGAGCGCAAAACGAGTCCGTCGCACTTTTTCCCATAACTCATGAAGGCGGGCTCCTGGACCCCCCTTCCGACCCCTCGTTGAAGAGGTCTTGCCAAGACCTATCGAAAACTTAAGTAAAAATTTTCAGTCGGTCGACCCCCTTTTTTCAAAATCCTGATGTGACTAATAGACAAAGTCGGGCTCCTGGACCCCCTTTCCGACCCCTCGTTGAAAAGATCTTGCTGAGACCAATCGAAATCTGTAATCAATTTTTTTTAGTCGGTCGACCCCCTTTTTTGAAGATCCTGATCTGGCCAACTGGTAAAAGCGGCCGATGGGGTCGGGACCAGGTCCATTCATCTTGTCTCGTCACCCCGATTCCAAAAATACCCCTATGTGCCCTGCTAGCACCAATAATGGCGGAAATCCCCCTCCTGCTCATGTAAACCATGATGCACCTGCAGCAGCCCTTGTGCGACCCGGACGGGATTTGCACCACCGGATTATTTGTTTGGACAGTACTCCTGAAGTACCCTCCAAATCTGGTTACTCCAGCTCAACTCCTTCCTTGTACACAGACGCCAACAACAACAACAACACACAGACACAAAGGCAAATGCATAGGCCCTCCCCCTATTTTTTGAATAGAAGGGCGGGCCAAAAAGTCACCAGGACCCAAATCCGAGGTGTGAAATTTGGGGTCCCGGATGAACAGGCGTGGAATGCCCCAGACCACTGAAGAGTCGAAAAAATTAGGAAAGATGTTCGCAAGCAGGTAAGTCAATGTGGCCCGGTTAGCATTTGTGATTATTTCCATCCAAAGAATGTCTTGTCGCTCACTAGCAGGTTTCTTTTCTGCTGGAGACCATTGAAGTGAACATTCCAGAGACTTCCAAGAGTAGTGAGCCCTTCAACGTCTTAGCTTGAAGAGGAGCGGCACGACGAAGCGTTGCACAATTCCAATTCTAAACGAGGTCCTGGTGTTTCAAGGGTCCTGAACTTCGAAAAAGCTATCATTTCTTCATCTGTTAGCTCGCCAGGTGTTTTGTCTGATGATGACTTAGTTGATGATGATGATGACAAAGATTCCGATGATGATGTACAGCTTAAAGTAGTTTCATAGCTAAGGGGTCTACGGTTAAAGGGTACATATTTTTATACCAAATTGTTCACGAGAACCTCCTCTACACGTTAGTGTGCTCGGAAAGTATCCTCCATGCACTCGTTTTTAAGATATTTGAAGTTAAAGTCAGGGTATTTTAACATGGGCTCTTATGGGGAAGCCGCCCGGGGGCAACGGGAAATCCATATATTTCTGTTTGCGTTCGGTGAAAAGTCTATAAAAAACTAAGCGACGGCTTCTTTATTTCTTGAGGAATCCACCGGTATGAATAAAAGAAGCCCTTCATGGGCAAATAAGAGAAATATTTAAAGATAACGAGCCGAAAGTGGAGTCGGATCGGCCATCATGGCGGCCGGCGGTCTCCTGGCGCCCCGAGGTCTTTCCGGTCTGTCCCACAGCGCTAGTGGCGCGCGAATTCAAGCTACTCGGACGCCCCGGAAAGTCCCATAGTCTCAAGTGTAGCGGGGAATACCTGAGGCTAGGTGAAACTGAGAGCTGCAGAGAATAATGCCCGCTTGGTTAAAGGTAAAAAAAAAAAAAAAAAAAAAAATTAAAAAAAAAAATTTCCAACAAAAGAAAAGAGGTTTAAGAAAATACTATATATTTCAATGGAAATTGCTCTGATGATTGTGGCTATCTACATGATTCTTTCTTAGCTTTATTTTGAACCGCATGATAATTGAGTGGACCACTGAATAGCTTCAAGTTCTCACCATAGCCTTGGTTTCTCATTTCTGCAACTTCGGTGTCAATACCCTCTCGAAGGACCACGCTTTTTTTATTCATGTTTCTGAGTGAGTTGAGGATAGGGAAAATACAAACAAACTATTGAGACAAACAATTTTATTCAATGACTGTAATGGCAGACATGAAAATGAAATGAAAACCATGGTCATGATGATAGGCGAGGTCAGTGAGCGGATGAATTCGGGACACTGGATCTGTGAACAGTAAAAACAAGAAATCACTTTAAAAATTGCACTCATAAAATCCATTTATTATAAATCAAACTCTGCTGGTAAATATTTTAGGTATTTAGTTTAAAAAACATCACAAGTTAGTCACATTAAAAGACGATAAAATCTAAGTCATGAAGCATCTGTAAAGTTGTAAAACTTCATAATAATAGTATTCTAAAAAATCATATCACATAATTTAGTTTATCAGTAACATCACAGCAAACAACAAATTATAGCAGTCTTATAGCAGTAAAAAACAATATGATAATTCTATGTACAATCTGTTTACATTGCTCGAGATCATTTCATTGCATTTGAATAGTTGTTTGTTGAAAAAGCCACAACAAACAAAATTCAACCCGTTAAATTCAAAACAATTAATAAAATTTAGACGCTCTGCAGGTACTTCTCCACGCAGTCGATGATTGACTTGTTTGTAGTCACTCTTGGTTTTCCAGCAAGTTGCACTCCAAGGCAAACTTCCAAACCAACTCTTCCATGTGTTTGGTACTCACTCTGCAACTCTTCTACTGTCACTCCTGTTGCTGCCATTTTCCCGATCATAATTTTTGATACTCCAAAGGTTTGCATTGCCAGAAGAGCTGGGCGGTGCTCCATTTTCTTCTTCAGAGCGGCTTGCTTTTGTAGCAACTGATGAATAGGCTGTACTTTCTCTTTCAAAGTCACCTCACCAACAGCAAAATGTTTCAGAAGAGCGTCCAGCAAGATGCAGTCAACAAGAGCATCATGAGCTCCATTCACAAGCTTTTCCCATTGAGGACCCTTCAAATACATTTTAGCCAAGCAATCCTCCTTCTTCACTGTTCCCTGCTGGATGAGTGGAATAGTGTTTGTCAATCCATAAACAAGAGCCAAAAATTCCTTTGCCAAGCCTTTGGCACGTAGCAGTTTTAAAATTCTAGGAAAGTCAAAGGAACCAATGCCGTGCCCAACAAGGATGACCTGGTTGGCACATAAAGAGAGAAAGTCCACAACGTCAGCACAGGCTTTACCCGCTTCACATGTTGGCATACAATGTTGATGACGCCGCAACTTTCCACCTTGGAGTCGGAACCCAGTTTTTTCAGAAGCTTTAGGATGCACTTTCTTCGTTGGTAGTATGTAAGCACTGAATTCCTTCTCTTCGCATTTTGCAGCCAGCTGGATAATCTGGTCAGAGCTGCTAAAACCAGTTGTTTCAATATCAACAATGACCAATTTACATTCAGGCAACAGGACAGAAGGCGGTGGAAGGTAACAGGGCACTGATGCAACCTTAGATGCTGCGGAGGCTGCTCTCTCCATAACTGAAGACATTCCGCTGACATAGGTGAGACCAGTTTGGCTAGAAGCTGTATAGTCTCTCCATGTATTTTTGTTCTTCAAAAAGAGTCTTCTTCTCTTCACAGAATCCTTCTTCTGGTAACTTCTCTTCCATATTCTTGACCTTTCCAACTTGGCTCTGAACTCTGTGGCTGAAGGTGACATTTTGAGCTTCTCAAAGACTATGTTGATGTGCTCGGATCCAATGTTCTTTGTGTTCACAGCACAAGCAACCCGCATCTTGTTTGCTAAAGTTCCAGCATAATGTCGACTCTTTGGCGCTCTTGTGTTGACCATGTGGTTGAAGCTTTCATTAGGCTGTGTGCTTCCTCCAGGAGCTAGCTGTGGCGCGTCGTCTGCTTGCTTTTGAAGGAGCTCTTCTAACTCTTGACGCCACTCTGGGCAGGTGAACGGTTGCTGATTTGGTAAATATTTGTACACATAGTTAGGATCTGACTTCGCTTTACACCAATCACCACACCCATCATGTTCCCCAAAAGTATGCTTTGAAATATTGAGAATGGCAGATCTAACACCTTCTACATTATTCTTATTTTGAGCGATAGCATAGCTGACACACCGCTTCAAATAGTTGATGACATCACCTTTCAAGAATGAGAATCCTCTGGCTTTACTCTTGTAAAGGGCGTTATTCACTGACTTGATATTATGGTTCATGTCTATCAGTTTCTCAATATCATAATCTACAAACTGTCGTAAAGCTGCCATAGTAGATGAGTCTGTCACCAATAAACCTCTTCACACGAACATTGGCTGCCACCAGGTTGGGATTGTTCACACACAAATTCACAGCTGCAACAGGCTCCATTCCCTTTGATGAACCTTCATAATTCTTCATGCACTCATGATCTTCTGGCTTGTGGCCTCTTGCACACATGACACAGTACAAGCTCAACACTTCATATCCTAGAACTTTGTCGGACTTCTCACCAATGACACTGCCTCTTCCGCTATGGCTGTCATATCTGAACCCGCTGCCTCTCTTGTCCCAGCCGTAGTCGAATCTCACAGTAATGTCAACTAACTCTTCTAAGTTTTCTCCCGGAGTGCAGCAACTTCTGAGGTGGGATGACTCTGCTCGAACCATGGGAGTGCTGGTATGAAGGGCGCTGTGTCTAGACGGGGTTGTTGGGCTCTGGACGATGCTGTTACTGAGACTACATGGAAGGAAGCTCAAATTTCGTGCACTTATAATTCTATTTATACCACAAATAAATAAAATAAATCAAATATCAACCAACCTGGCAGAACTCTCCAAGGTCAGCTGTCGCTCCTCTTCGATGGCCTTCTTGCAGGATTCGTCAGCAACTTTGATGACACAGCGTCCAATGCGGTCCTCAGCCAGCTTCAGAGTGCACGCGTTGATGGTGGGCAAGTTGATGGTTGAGAAAAGCTTATTGAACTGCTCGTGGCCGACACCAGAGTCCAGACAACCTGAGTAAACAATTGAAGGGGGAGGTTAGGAATTACAGTGTTCATTAGTCTGAGGCGCATATGAGAGAAAGTGAAGTGATTGCGACGAGAGAAGAAACTTGGAATGGCACTTACCAAGTGCAGCTTTTAAATTCACAGCAAACAAAGAGCGAAAATTGCCTGAGAGATCCGGCACCTTGGCACTGGTGGGAACTTTTTTCATGGTCAAGCACGAGTGGCAGCGGATGGTGAGTTCAGATGCCAAGCCAAACTGGCTTTCTTCCTCCATAAATCGTAGACTGAGCGCGGCATCACAAGTTTCACACCAAAGTTCACGAGCAATCAACGCCAAGTCCACGACTCGCCGGCCGACAGGCCCTAGCCCTAACTCTGTTCCAAACTCTTCTCTCTGCTGTCTCTTCGCACGTTTGCGAGCATTGATTGCTTCACACAATTTTGAAGCTGCCTCCCGCCTTTGACGCTCTTTACTTTTCACAAACGGCATAACACCAAGATAACAGGATCAAACTGAGGCCCAGCAGCGGACTGAAGCACGGAATTATGTCGTCTGCTCTGATCGCAGCAGCATGGCGTCAATCCGGAAATGGACGAGCGAGTTCACATTGCCAACCTGACGGCAGCAACTCTGACTTTTTCGAGGGTGGAATATGGGGATAAGTAACGGTTTTGCGGACACGAGAACTTTTTCTTTTGTAATTAAAGAAGTTGCAATATTATTTGATGACACTTTTGGCCGCTATCGGGTCACATTTCATTTCTGTAGTTGTCAAGCCATTTTCGTGTTCGGAGGTTCTCGTCAGGACAAAACCTAGTCAAGTGCAGTTCTTTTTAGCTCAAAAATAAATAGTTTTCAGAATATTTCACTAAATTTAAATTGATGTAACGATTCTTAAGCACATTAAAATTTAATTTAAACACGGTTTCAATTTTTTTTTCATTTTTTAAGTATGTGTTTGGTGGTTTGTACGTGACCACAGTTGTGCACTTGACTAGACCCCTTAGCTATGAAACTACTTTAATGACACTCTACAAAAAATGTCCTGTCAACGCCGTTAATTTATTACCAATGTTTGCTGTTATGCAATTCACGGCGTTTGCTGTGAACTAGTTCACGGCGTTCACTGTGATCTCGGTTACAGTGTTCACTGTGATCTGGCCACAGTAAACGCCGTGAATTGGAGCCTGATTTGCAGTACTTCGGTGCTCAGCGGCGTCAAACTCACAGTGTTTACTGGGGACTAGATCACAGTAAACACCGTGAACAATGTCACAGTGAATCGCGTGAGCAGATCACAGTAAACGCTGTGAATTGACCTACAGTGAAAACTGGTAATAAATTAACGGCATTTACAGGACATTTTTGGTAGAGTGGAGTCCATCATTGTACGCAATCATGATAACGATCGCGATGATTCAGATGAGATGATGGATGAGACGGAGGGAATTGATACTCAGAAAGAAGAAATTAATTGTAAGACAGAAGAAATAGAAGACTTTAGTAAGTTTGCAGTATTTTTGCATTTAGTTGTTATTTTCAATATTTTTAGGCACGAAGTAGCCTTATTGTATACCGAGGGTTCAGCCGGCGGGAGATTCAATTCACGTGGGCCTTTAAGTATATTGGGTATTTTCTGTAGGATTTTAATGAAATTTAGCAGACTAGTAGAACTTTGAACGCTGATCCTGATGACGAAATGTGGTTAAAAAGTTAACGACCAGTTTTTGAGAAATTTGCTGTCAAAATCGACGTTTTTAGGGCAACACTCGACTCGTCAAAGAAAAAAAAGGGAGTGGGGAGAACCAATAGCCGAGCTTCATTTCGGTTCTGTACAGCTTACTCCAAAAGCTGAAATAGCACGTTCGAAATGAAAAATTTCTTTGACTGCAGGTAGAGAAGATGTAACAATAGAATTGGTGTCGGTTCGAACGCACGTTTTCGGGTAGAACTATCCTATCCAATAATAAGGGCGTGTAGGACGATTAGTATCAGATTTCGGGATTCTCTATACAAATAAAGAACATTCAGCATATCGGTTCCAAACTTGTGCCAGTAGAGCAGTCTGGCCCTTCATATAGACTATACATAACCATTGGATCAATCTGGAATCCGTTATCTTTGAAACCTAAGACGCTTTCCAAACCCTTGCATGCTGTTACGAATCGCCCCGCCATGGGGTGATTTGTAACAGCCACGGGGCGTTTCATAACATCCTGCACATTGAATGAAACATCGTCGTTATCTCCTCCAGCAGTTGTTCTTCGAATGTCCTGCAGACGCCTTACAATCTACATTACAAGCTGCCGTTGACCGCCCGAGCATTAACTGATTGACTATGTCAACCCTAACCTCACTTTTTTCAATTTCGGAGGATAAATACACTATTTTAGTCGTCGTCGACTGAATAACAAGAAGAATCAAATAACCGGAAATAGAGTAGATCGGGAGTAGGAAGTGATCCTGGTTTAAAGGAATAATGCTAACAAATATATTTCTTTTCTTTGCCAAAAAAGTATTTCACACAAGCTTGATTGGTTTTGAAAGAGTATCGAATCGAAAAACTTTTTAAATGATGCAGTCGGACGGGTGAGTGAGGTTAAGTTGCCGGCGCCATTTCCGGTTTTGTGATTCTTCTTGTTCTTCAGTCGGCCACGACTAGAATGGTCTATTCGAATAACTCACTTTAGAAAGCATTTTGTGATGTGTATATGTATTGGAATAAGGCAGCAGATGATTCCAGAAATTTTTCAAGCATTGAATTGCATTAACTACTTAAATTCTTTATTGGCTGATCGATAGCGAAGCCCGTCACTCCAGTGGGGTAGAACAAGGTAGGTGTACGCCAGACCGTGTCTTGTAACAGGCTTCGCGATGCTGCGCCAGTTTCGACAATGCACGCCAGGGATAGACACCTCCCTTGGCCTGCGGCGCTGCATTTGGTCATCACAATCTACACTAATGGGACTTAACTATGGGTCGGGGGTCCGAATGGGTTCTACTTTCGCCATCAGCAGCCTTAGAAACATAGGAAACCACATGAAACTTGACAAAAAGTTTAAAGTGCTTAAAAAGTTGTCTTTTTTCTGCCGTTTTTTAAGTGCTTTTTGGCTAATGTGACCGAATGGATTGAGATAGAATGCTGAATTTTGGCGTGTGGCGAGCCAAGAACATACCTAATGACCCTGCAAAATCTCAGGCAGATCGGCCGAGCAGTTGAGGAGTAGTGCGCACAGACACACACACACGCCCACCCACACACGGACAGAAAAAGTTTTTGGCTGAGCGATAGCGAAGCCCGTTACTCCAGTGGGGTTGAAAAGTTTTGTCTGTCTGTGCGTGCGTGTGCGTGTGTGTGCGCACTACTCCTCCTGAACGGCTCGGCCTATCTGGCTGAGATTTTACAGGGTCATTAGGTATGTCCTTGGCTCGCCACACTCAAAAATTCAGCTTCCTACCTCGATCCATTCGGTCATATTAGCCAAAACACACTCAAAAACGGCAGAAAAAATACAACTCTTTTAGTACTTTCATTTTTAAGACAAGTTTCATGTCGTTTCCTACGTTTTGGAGGGTGCTGATGACAAAAATAGAACTTAGTCTGACCTCCGACCTGCAGATAGGTCCCATTGGTGAAGATTTTGACTACCAAATACTACGTTTTGTGGGGATCACGCTCATTTCTACGGTTTGACTATGAAAGTGGCTTGCCGAAGGCAGGCTACACTGTGGCAAAAAGCTACGGAAAATTCTGTAAACAGCTTGTGGCAATTCTCCGTAGCCCACTTATCAATATTCTCCGTAGGCTCTTACAGTATTTTCCGTAGGACCGCACAGTATTCTCCGTAGGACCTTACAGTGATTTCCGTAGGACTATACAGTCTTCCAGGTCCTACGGAGAAGACTGTGCGGACTTACAGAGAATACTGTGCGGCCCTACGGAGAATACTGTAAGATCCTACGGAGAATATTGATAAGAGGGCTACGGAGAATCCTGGCAAAAAAATTAACAGAATTTTCCGTACCTTTTTGCCACAGTGATAGCGCCGCAGGCCAAGGTAGGTGTACACGCCAGGCGTGGATTGGCGAAACTGGCGCAGCATCGCGAAGTCTGTTCCGGCAAGACACGGTCTGGCGTACACCTACCTTGTTTAACACCACTGGAGTAACGGGCTTCGCTGTCGCTCGGCTAAAAACTTTTTCTGTGAGTGTGTGAGTGCGTGTGTGT